CGTCTCTCCTACCACTACTATATATATATATATATATATATATATATATATATATATAGGACTCGCACATCCTGCAAACGCTGAAATTTTCAAGAAAAACAATAGTGTGAATCATAATTGAGGGGGGAGGTAGAGAATCAATGTACCCTAATGTAACGATTCGTTGGATCGGTCTCCACTGCTTCAGAATCAAGGGACTCAGCTTGCCGGAAACCATCCATGGTGCCCCCTACCCAGCTAGAAACTGGCCGAAAATCAAGAGATCAGAGACTCTTTCCGGCCATAATTGCCGGAAAACAGCTATTTTGTTTTTCAGAAAACGCCTCAGAAGCCACAGAGAAAGAATCAGATGCCGACTGATAACAAAACCGGGACCTGATCCCGCAGCGCCTCAAATAAAATCCTACTTTCATTATCCCTGCCATGCCAAAAAACCCCTTTCACCGCAAATTCCAAGACACCCAAACCCTAATTTCCATACCTTCCCAAGAAAAAGAAAACAGGCCTCAAAGCCCCAAAATAACCTAAAAATCCTCCAATTTTACCTTAAATTTCAGAAAAAAAATCCCAGGAAAAGCAAAGGAAAAAACAGCAGCTAAGGCAATGCACCAAAGAGATCTGATCAATTGGATGAGAAAACCCTAATTGCTATAAAACCCTAATTGCTCGGCAAATTTGAGGAATTTAGGATTTGGAGACAGAAGTTTTGAGAAAATAAAGGAGAACCGAACAGTTGCCCTGTGAAAATAGGATATGCTCGTTGTAACATGCAATTAATATGAAATGTTATTGTGCTTTCTATAATATGATATTGTAACTTGAAATGTTATTGTACTTTGTATAGTATGATACCATATTATGATTTTGATGATGTATATTATGATGATATATATTATGATATATATTTTGATTTTGATGATATATATAGGTTATTTATTTTTGAAATAAGGATGTCGAAATAATCTCTAGCCATTAATATCGAAATATGAGAGCTTGGGTACGTCATAAACTTGGTCAATGGCATATTTTTAGCCACCCAATTTTAAATCTAACATCTAAGAATGATTTGTGAGTCTTTTGTACAAAGAATAAATTATTTTCTTAATATTTAACATAAAATCTAACAATTAAGAATAATTAGGACTCTTTTGTACTAAAAATAAATTGTCTTATTAAGTTTGACATAAAAGCCTGATGATTATCAAGCAAGGTTTTTGTTTTCTCTCTTTTAAAAAATCATCTCTTATATTTCATATCATATACTCATTGTATCCTTTGGTCTAAAATCATCTCTTATATTTGATATCATATACTCGTTGTATTTTTTGGTCTAAGAAGGGTGAAGACCTTAAACTTTCACTTTACTATCTCAATAAGCATAGGTAAAAAGTTGTGGGTTGTGCTAGGTAGGCAGCTAACGTCAAACTATGTCAAACCTTTTCATGAATCCTAAAGCCACGATCAAATTGACGGATCAAAATTTATGAAGCCGACTACAAATAGTTGGAAAAAAAACTTTTAATGATGATGATGTTCATGTTCTCTTTCTTTCTTTTTGGAATGACTTGGTAACTCTTTCTTTTTTGAACTTCATATCATTCTCTTTTCATATCTATACATCTTCGAGATGATCAATTGGAAGGTTTTCCAACATCAAAACATTATTCTTTTTTTTAACAAAAATAAAATTTGGGGGATGCCTTACTTGTATAATACAATATATTTCCTTTACTTTTTTTCTCATTAGACTGTTGAGCGAGCTATTTATTTATGTTTCAATGTAAATAAGCATTTTAATATGTGAAATCGTATCTAATATTTACTTTAACTAAAAAAATCATATCTAATATGCATATCTCTTCTATTTTGTTCTTGTTATAAGAAATGTTATAATTCAGATTGCGAGGAGTCCTACTTACAAATGGAATGAAAGATAATTTTGAGAGAATGAAATATACTCGTTTCTGCGTTTCTGAATATTTATATTCTTGAAAATTTGGGTATTTGTAACGATTTTTTTTTGTCAAATTTTTTTTGGGTATTTGTATGCTTGAAATTTTGGGTTTGGGATAAGGTAGTGGTACGTCGATTTAAATACAGCCTTATTTAAAAATTCATACTAAAATTTCACAATCTCAACCGCCAATCATAAATATATATATAAAAAAAAGAGGTATAAATTTAAAAAGTTAAGATATATTATTTTAAAAGATGAAGTTCCTATAAGGCAAAGGCTCTATGAAAACCAAATAAAGCGTCACCTCAAATCTTTGTCTGGAAAGCACTTTCGGCCACAGAAATCTCTTACTCTAAAATCAATTTCTAACACCGATAATAAATTTTGAAACTAATAAAATTGTACACATATTGTGGATCTCTAAAAGCCTCTTTTTAGATCGGAATGGACCGTCCAGTTAATTTATTAAAATATACACTATTTATTAGATTTTGAAATTCTAATTTTTTTCACAACCATAACGTTTAAGTTGAGATGATTAATGTAAAGGTTTTCTCAAAAAGATCGGAATGGACCGTCTAGATAATTTATTAAAATATATATTATTTATTAGATTTTAAAATTCTAATTTTTTTCACAACCATAACGTTTAAGTTGAGATGATTAATGTAAAGGCTTTTCAATGCTCGAATTACAATTTTCAATGAGTCAGGAGGTGAAGCTTTACTTATTTTGATAGGGTTGTAGTCCTATCAAACCATTTTTCTATTTTAAATTATTATTTTTTGAACCATTCATCACTATTCATGTTAATTCATCCGCAGTATTTTTAAGCTACATAAACATGAGTCCAAAACAGAAATGAATCTAAAATGACTTCAGATATGTTTCCTATGTTAATCTAAGATGACTTTTTGCATTTGAATAGGAACTCCTTGGAAAAGTTTTTATAGAGCCGGGGATCTAAACAATCAAATTAGAGCTCACTTAAAACTTTTTACTAGAACATGTTGTTTTGATGTCCAAATATCCTTAAATTGATCATCTTGACATCAAGATGCATGGGGATGAGAAAAAAATAGATTTCAAGTTTTGGAAATAGTATATTTTGTAACGCATTTTTTTACTGTCAATTTTCAATATTTTCAAGGTTTCATAAATCTGGTCGATCTACGCTATGTTTGAAGCTTAAATTTTATAATTGAATACAAAAATATATTTTAAGACTATCTCAATAACATTTGAAGGTGCGCTCTACTTTGATTGTTTAGAGCCTCGGCTCTATACAAACCGTAACCCACGTTTAAACTCTGCCCCGTGTATTATGGTGATTGTTTTGCTCATTCTCAAACATCCTCATTTCTCCTTCATATGGAATTACAAATCATCTCATGGCTCTTAGATGTGTAGACACAGTTCTTTCTAAATTCCAAGCATGGAAGAATAATAATAATAAATAATTAAGTTGTGGGTGTTTAAAATCCTTGTACACTAATTATCATGGAGAGGAGAAAAGGAGTTCAATATGTAAAAAAGAGATGACAAAACTATTAAATTGGGGAGACAATCATTATCTAGAGAGAGAAAGAGAGGGGGGGAGAGAGAAGGAGAACTCAAACTCAACTTATGTATAGTTTCTTAATAGTAAACTATGAGTTTGAGAAAGACCTCAGGAAGAGCACAAACTTTATTTATAAACCTTACCTATATATGTATTTATATCTATGTTACATTATTGAACCAGAGTTAAGGGGTAGACATGTATCGCAAGATTAAAGAAAGACCCTATTTATAGAGATGTTGTAAGGTACATAACCTTTAAGTGGAAGAGTTTATGTAGGGTACCTGATGCCTAAGAACTAGGGACTTCAATATTTTCAAGAAATACATTTGAATCTCTCTCTACCATTTCCTTCTTATGATTTAAGTGAGATGTTTATCTCCAAAAATCTCATTCCTATAATTTTGATTATTTAAGTATATTTCTCTCTCTAAAAATCTCCTTCCTAAAATTTTGTAAACTATCATGAGTATTCTCACATAGACATAAGTACATCTAAGAAAATGTTTACTAAAATTTATAATTATATCTCTATCATGAGGAAAGAATATCATGGAAATATAAGATATTTATGATTGAGTTAGATATTGTAGAAAATAAATATTAAAAGAAGAGAGATATGGAGAAAAAATCAAGGAAATAAATAGATTTTCAGAACTTCAGTGATAAAAACAAAAAAGAGCGACGAGTACATGAGAGAGGGAGATGGAGAGGAAATCAAAGAGAGGGATCATTGAGAAAGATTGAAAATCTTAAATTTTAAGAATAATATACTATTATCCCTCCTACATGTAAAGTCATGTAAGAGTCTACAATTATATTGATCCAAAATAATTAGTACTACTACTAATATTAATTCCAAGAAGATAAGATAATATACTTAAATCACAATTAAATACTATTGGCATATAATAATTATCTGATTATAACTGTATAATCATATATACCCATAGTAACAAAACAATATCTATTATATTTGATTATAATAATAATAACACAATAAAATTGTTATTCCATAATATAGATTATAAATATTATTGTTCATTTCACATTAATATTTAAGTTATTAATTATGATGAAAATATTTAGAATAAATATATTATAAGTGAATATTATATTAGAGTTTATAGATGTAAATCACTATTGGAATTGTTCAATTTATTTAATGTATTTAAAATATATATAAATATTTAAAAGTATTTCAGAGATAGTTATACAAATAATTATATAAAATAATAATAATTAGTGCCATAGATACTATAATATTATTCCTCTTATAATTAACATTATAATTACATATTATTAATATACAATTAAATGATTATTAATATAGTTATAGTTCTTAACATACTTGTATTTCAATGTTGATTATATTAAATGTTATCAATATACATTAGCGTTGATTATATATTACTCATAGTTTCTTAATGGCAAACTATGAGATTGAGAAAGATTCTAGAGAAGAGATGAATTTTGTTAGTCTCGTAATGTTTTCTTAATATTTTAAAGTCATTGCATGTGAATGGCCGCCTTCACATTTAAACTATGAAGTTAGAAATATGGAAAAAAATATTAACTTTGAATTGTGATTAAATAAAAAAAAGGAGAGAGAGAGAGAGAGTTTTCCTGAGCCTTCACAAATATCCTAGAGAAAGTTGTCCGTCCACGTTTCAATAGTTAAATTTTTTTGTTTTTTGGGGGAAGGGGCGGAATAATTGGGAGGAAGGAAAGGATTATCTTTTACATCATATGGAGATGTTTCTTTTTATCAAAGTATGGTTGGATTTTTTGAGACAAGTTAATCCTGTAATTGAGATTTATTGGAATTGACGTTTCTTGAAATATCCGTTTGGATCATATATTGTATAAATCAAGAAAATGCAAATTCACCATTTGGATTGCTTGGAATATCTTTTTGTTTTTGGAAATACAAATCCTTTTTCTCTCTCTAAATATTTTGAGATAGTTTCTCTCTCTAAAATTTTAATACGATCTCTTTCAAAAACTTAAAATTTGAAATAGTCTCTCTCCCTCTCTAACAAATTTGAGATAGTTTATCTTTCTAAAAAAATATATACTCTCTCTCTAAAAAATTGTATTGTTTCTCTCTCTGAGATTTTGCACTACTTTCTCTCTCTAAAGCTTAAAATTTGAGATAGTTTCTCTCTATAAAATTTTTGAGATAGTTTTTCTCTCTAGACAATTTCAAGTAGTTTCTCTCTCTAAAATATGATATAGTTTCCCCCTCTAAAATTTGAAGTACTTTCTCTATCTAAAACTTAATGTTTGAGATAGTTCCACTCTAAAAATTTTAAGATAGTTTCTCTCTAAGAAATTTTAGGTACTTTCTCACTCTAAACTTTGATATGGTTTCTAATATCTAAAATTTTAATATGTTTTCTCTCACTAAAACTTAAATTTTGAGATAGTTTCTCTACCTAAAATTTTCATGTAGTTTCACTCTCTAAAATTTTAATAAAATTCCTCTCTCCAAAACTTAAAATTTGAGATAGTTTCTCTATCTATTTTTTAAAAATAATTTCTCTCTCTAAAAAAATTACATACTTTCTCTATCTAAAATTTGATATAGTTTTTCTCTATGAAGTTTTGAGATATTTTCTCTCTCTAAAACTTAAAATTTGAGATAATTTATCTCTCTAACATTTTCAAGTAGTTCATCTTTCTAGAATTTTAATATACTTTCTCTCTTAAAAACTTAAAATTTGATATATTTTCTATCTATTTTTTTAAATATTTTCTCTCTCTAAAAATTTCAGGTACTTCTTTTATCAAAAATTTGATATAGTTTCTCTCTCTAAAGTTTTACGATATTTTCTCTCTCCAAAATTTAAAATTTAATATAGTTTTTCTCTCTAAAAATTTTCAGGTAGTTTTTCTATCTAAATTTTGATATAGTTTCTAATATCTAAAATTTTAATAAGCTCTCTCTCTCAAACTTAAAATTTGAGATAATTTTTCTCTCTGAATGTTTTGAGATATTTCTCTTTAAAAAAATTTAAGTAGTTCACCTCTCTAAAATTTAATGTAGTTTCTCTATCTAAAATTTTAATATACTCCCTCTCTCTAAAACTTAAGCTTTGAGATAGTTCTCTCTCTAAAATTTTAATATGATAACCTTAAAACTTTAAATTTGAGATAGTTCCTCTTTCTAAAAATTTGATATAGTTTCTCTCTCTAAAATAATTATAACATTTTTTCTCTCTAAAAAAATTTGTATACTTTCTCTCTCTAAAATTGGATATAGTTTCACTCTCTAAAATTTTATTATGTTCTCTCTCTAAGATTTGATATAATTTTGGGAAAACATCTCTATACCCTTTATTTTTATGTTTCATTTCACAATAGATCCAAGGTTTTAAAATAAATCTAGAGCATACAAATTGTAGATTTTATTTTTTATAACCTTCTGAGCTAATTTAAGCATGTCTTTTTAGGTCAAACAAATTTAAAAAAACATGCTTTTTCTATAAGCCATCATCCCAAACTTCTAGAGAGAGACTTCATGGAGGTGAGAGGTTACCGAGAAGAGAGATAGGGGTGTTTGGAAAAACAAGGGAGGAGAGAGAGAGTGAGAGACACACGAAGAGAGAGAAAGAGAGAAGTTTGGGGTATATAAGTGAAGAGAGAAATGATTGGATTTAAATAGAGCTTGTATTTCTCACATTTGTTTTGGTTAAAAAATAGGTTTAAAGTGACTATAGCGTTAGAAGATATTGTTTGAAACATTAGGTTTATCAAAAAATGAAACCTAAGAATAAGCGATATGGAGATATTTTCCCTATAGTTTACCTATCTAAAATTTTAATTTTTACTTTTTGTTCTTCGGCAGCAAAATGGATCATTTCCATGAAATGTTAATTCCACCTATTTTGTTGGAATTGGTATTTTCAAAATTGAAAAGTATATAGTGAAAGCATTTACTTTTTTTACAAGGTGGTCACAATTAATCTTGACCATTAGATGTGAAATTAGGTGGCAGCATTTATTTTATGGGCCAAGCTCAAAGTTGAAGATAAATTTTCTTGAACTTTATGACACATCCAAGCTCCCTGATTTTACATCGGATAATTGTAAGTAATTGTGACCTCCCCTATTTCAAAGGTAATATACAATCCCTTCCAAAATTTAAGCTTAAAATGAGCATTCACGAATTTCATGAAATTTTCAATTCCAACATAAATGTTTAATCTAAGCGCACCAAATACAATTGACGCAGCTTTTCCCGAAAAAGTGACTCCTAAAAATCTGAATCCAAAGAACCTAACAGGTCCTTACGTTCTTAATAAAGCCCACAATGTATGCTGTAATAGTTTTGTGTGCCCCTTTTTAATATGCCAAATAATTTAAAAATAAGGAAAATGTATGGTAAGTAAAGTCGTATCTCACATCCCATTGGTACAAATTCCATTTGGTAAGAGCCGATTTGGCACTAGAAGACGCTCAAATTGTTCATCTCTAGAGCTGGAAATGGGGAGGGCAGCCCAATCCGGCCCAGTCAGTATGACCCTACAAACTAGGGCATATGCCACAATGGCAGCCTGAGGATTGGCCTTGGGCTAGGCCACCATTGCCAAGGGCCAGGCCAGGATGGGCCTGGTCCAGGGCTAAGATATGACTGGCTTGGTTGTGACTTGGCTCAATCTGACTGGAAAATGGTTTGATGGGGCGGCAACCCTATCAAAATAAGTAAAGCATCACTTTCATAAAAAAAAATGGAAATTAAAGCATTAGAAAAACTTTGCGTCGATCCTCTTGGCTTGAACATTATGGTTGTGAAAACAAAATGAGATTTTAAGTTCTAAAAATATAGTTTTTGTAACAAATTATATAGACCATCCATTTTGCCCTTAAAATAAGTGCTCATGGATTCGTAAGATTTGTACAATTTTTTGAATTTCAAATTTCATTGTCATTGTTGAAAATTGATTTTAGAGCCATGATGAAAATTTCCGCCGTCAATTATGCTTTTTGGACAAGGATTTGAGGTGAGGCTTTATTTTGTTGCCATAAAACCTAGGACTTATAGGAAGTTCATTTCGAAATGTCTACAAATTGAGGTGAGGCTTTATTTTGTTTTCATAAAACCTCAGACTTATAGAAACTTCACCCATTTGAAATTGCCACAGGAAATTTAGCATTGTCCTCAACACTAGTCGCTAAATTGCAAAGTACAAACTAGCGTTGGCAAAACGCAGCGATCTGATCGCTCGGTTAGATCGGAACCGGCCACCAATTTTGGGCGGTTTTGGTGATCAACCGGTATTTACTATATTTTTTTAAAGCATATAAATTTTCAAAAATAAGGAATTTGATTTGTAATTTTTTTTTTAATATTCTTTATATTATAGTAGAGATTAAAAATTGTTTTGGTCATTTAATACTCACATTTATATTTTGGTATCTTTTTCAAAAAATGTTAAAAATACACCCAAGCATAAATCGATTCGTTAAAATCTATTTTTTTTATTATTAATTTTCAACTTCATTTGAATGTGTTTTGTTTTAAACATTCTTGTTATGCTTTTCATATTTTAGTAGTTTTTTTCTTTATATCTTTTTTATTATTTTCAACACTTTTTTACTGCTCGGTACTTATCTAGTTAGAACCAAGTGGCCGATTTACTAATCGGTTAAACCGCTTCTGGGCCCATGTCCGATTAACCGTTCTATTCGATTTTACGAACACTGGTGCAAACCATACATCTCCTCACTAGTGTTCGCAAAACCAGTCGGTTAGAACCGGAACCAGCTAACCATTAGGGTTCCGACTCCGGTTAGGACCGGTTTTGGGGTACCATTACCTAAACCTACCTCTCATGAAAAAATAAGGTACAAAACCGGCCAATTTAGGGTCGAACCGGTGGCATTTATGTCTAACCGGTCGGTTTTGTTCTAACCAGACCGGTTTTATGTTAAACAACGTTTTTTTTGGAAAAAAACAAAAAAACGGGCAAATTGAAATAGCGACTGTTATTTTATTGGATTTGGTGCCTTTAAAAGATGATGGAAGCCTTTACAAAGTTGTTGTATTGATTTGTTCGATTTTATGAACATTGAGGGTTTGCTCGAAATGTTGCTAGCTTTTAGGGGTTTTTGAGAAACCGATTGTTTTAACAAAATTAATTTTACCTTATATTATTAAGTCAATAAAATTATTTTTTATGATGAATATGGAAAGTGTTTTTCTATTTTGCATACTAAAATTATATTTTTGATAAAATTATATTTTTATGATAAAAATATATTCTTTGAAGAATATGATAAAAAATCGATTCTTCTTTTTTAAATGTTATATTTCTTTTTTTAACAAACAAAAAAATAAGTGCATGATAACGTTGGTCTTACTTTTGCTTCATATATATATTTTTTAAGTGCGTGATATAATTATATTTGTAATAATGGAAATGGAAATGGAATTGTAATTGTAATTGTTGTAATAATGGAACTGGGATTGTAATTGTGTAATGGAAATGGGATTATAATTATGTTGGTAGAGGCATTCACAATTTCAAACTTTTTTGTTATCAAAATTTCAAACTTTCAATAATGGTTTTAAATAGTTGTCTTGGATTTTGGAATTACTTAGGATCAATAATACTCAGTTCCTTCTTACTATTTTTTTATTAGTTGGCATTTTTATTTGGTTTAATAGCATCAATTTACTTTTGTCATTTACAAAAAAACGCATAAACGTTGATTCCTAATGTAAGCGATTATTGTAAAAAAAAAAACTAGAAAGTTTTTCATGCAAGGTTTGGGATGAATATGTTAATTCTTAGAAGAAGATGTTACATGACAAAAATATCGTCAAATAATATCTTAATCTAGGAAGATCTATTTGGGATCATTAAAAGGACCATAATATTTAAATATTATTTTATAAAAATTTATTTCAATTTTTTTTGCAAGATAAAAGTATGTAATAAAATATTATACACTTCACTTAAATTTTTTTAATATTTTTTTTTTTAAAGTTTTTAATTTTAAGTCTAGTTGATAGATTAATCCGGCTGGCCCGATTAGCCAGGTTCCGATTGAAACTGCTACTAGCCCCATCTCCCGTAACCGTTCCCGTTCGATTTTGCGAATACTGCTCTCCACTCAACCATTCGTGTATGGTGAAATTAGTGTTTCAGAGACGTTATCGCCATTGTCAATCTGCTATCAAATCAGGGTTTCTTATTTGGGGTTTCTGAAATTTTACATTGTTGGCGAAGCTTTGGTCATGGAATTCCATAAAAATGCATAGTGCTCTGTGAAATTGGATTTTCTCAGTTTTCATGACCATTATCAGCATTCTGGCGTGACATTAGGGTGGTGCGCTTTGGGTTTCTGAAACCTTAAAAACGGATGGAGAAGCATTGGCCATCGAATTCAATTGAACTGCGAAGCTCTTGTTCAGTGGAGACATTTGGCTGTCCAGTTTGTTACTTTTGCCCTAATTCTTGGAAGAGGGTTGGATTCTTCACTGTGAATTCAGCGAAAAATAATTCAGAAGCTTCAAAGGGGCTCCAAAATGAATCGAAAAATAAGCTTTCTCGTATCCTTTGGACTGAGGCTGCTGTTAAAGGAATAGAGAGGAAGGCAGGGCTCACAAATTCCACCAGTCTATGGCCAAGGGCTGTTTTGGATGCTTTGAGTGATAAAATTGAGAAGAACCAGTGGGAATCCGCCCTTGAGGTGAATCTCTCTCTCTCTCTCTCTAGAAGAAACAGAGAAATATGCAGTTAATATACTCTCTCTCATTGTCTAATTCTCGGAATGCTACCTGTGTCGTCTGAATTTGATATTAAATTTATAATCATTTGGAGTCTCCCTCAAGGGACTCCCTCTCTCTCTCTCTCTATCTATCTATCTATCCATGTGACTGATAGATAACTAAAATGCATCATCAATGTAAAGCATGATAATTTTTGTTTTGATTATTATTATTCTTTCCAACACTAAACATTTGTAAAGAGTATGTGATTTTCCTGAGGAATGTTGTTTGAGTAATCTAGGATATTGTGAGGTTCATCTATTAAATCGAAGGATTCCATTTGTAAAGTACTTACAAGGCTGTGTATATTTTCAATTTCGATGTGAATTTGACTGTGGGTTTAATTTGCTTTGTAACCAGATGATTTGTAGTTGAACTGAAAGCCATAGTCTAATTCTTATTAAACCTAAGGTAAGATAAGCTCATGATGAGTAAATGTGGACTTCTAATTGAGCATCTTAGGTAAAGTCACAGCCTTTCATTCCATGAGCATTTTAGCTATGATTCCTTTGAAGTTGAAAAGATGTTTTCTAAATGGACTAGTCTGGTTGGTCATATGCACCGTGGCAGTAAACAAATGGAAGCAAACAAATTGGAAGTATCTATGACAATGATGGAACTCAAGCCTCAACCTTCAATCTAGGAGAAAAAAATTGTGTTAGGGCATTTTCGAATTTGTTACAGAAGTTCTTCAGAAAGACATTGACTCAAGAATTTTTTTATTTTAGAGGTTCAGCCTATTGGCTTCATGGTTAGGGTATTCTGCCAACTATGCTCGATGCTCTGAGGCCTAGCCTACCTTTAAATATGAAAAATGCTGTGAAACCCTGGTAGCAGCTTTAAAACTAGCTAGGAATGAAAATAAGTAATTTCATTCAAAATAGACTCATAAAGAACACCTGATTGACATATAGTTGAGCGAGATCACACTACCCTGACTATTTTTTGGGTGTCATTTGCAATGTCCTCCTATAGTGTGAGAAGGGTGGTTTTGGGTCTCTTATGAGAGGTTCTACACTTTCTGGTTATTTACTTGAAGAAAGACAAGCTTATACCTCAATGTAAGCTGCACAAGCTCTGATTACAGGTAGAATTTAGAAAGATTTGGTATTTGACCAGAAGCTTTTAAAGAGGCATAGTCCAATTACACTGAATTAAAGGGTCCTGATGCAACCATAGGTTATTACATGTATTACTTTATGGAACTACCACAAAATTCATAGTTTTCATGTACCTTTTGGTCCTTCCTGAATGCCAAAGCCGCCTTCTTCATCCTCTTTGATGAAGTGAACAAAGATGATAACAAAAGTTTCTGATTTTTTTAATAATCTATAGAATTGAGAATAAAGAATTGAATTCTCACCTTCATCCAAGTAACAGTTGGAATAAGCCTTCTCTCCAAGCTTGAAGATATTTATACCCAGAAAGCTTTGAGCAGCTAGATGCTGAAAAATGAATAACAACTTGCAACAATGTGCGAAGGTGAGCATCACCACAAGAGGAGCATTGGAGGCATAGCTTGGTGAACCAGTCAACATAGAAAAGCAAAGCACTAGCAATATCAAAAGGCAAGCAAAACACTGGCAGCTTGTCTTGGTAAAGTAGTGTATATCGTCATTCTTTTGGAACTTAGGTGAGCCTGGCGCCTCTATATGTTAGTGTTCGAGTTGCAACATCAAATTTTACCTAAATTAGATAATGCGGTGACCTTAAGTATACCTATTCCATTTTTTGTTTTTATAGCTATCAGTTGAGTAGATCAGTAGACAAGCCAATGCTAATAGTGGGTTTAACTTTGTGACAGAAGAGCTTTGCTTCCTGATGTTTTTGTCCATCTATGACGGCGATCACATAGTCCAATACATCACTAACTTTTCTTTGTGATGACTGACTTATTTGAGCTATCTGCATCTTTCTTATGCAATTTTTGTTACTCTTTTTGGTCCAATTGTTTAACAATTTTGAATTTTCTCTATGTAATGCAATTGTGACACAAAAACATGTCTGGTTTTTTTTTTTTGGGTAGTTCAGTGGGGAAGGGGTCCCCTATCGTTGGTAGGAATGAAAACCAAGACATCACATTGTGGCTCCCAGCCACTTGGACCATCAAGTCTTGAGCCCATTCCTCCAAAAACATTTATTGAGAAAGCCATGTGGCTTGGTTGTTGGACTAACTATAGAGACATATTCTGAGATGCTTGTTTACTAGCACCGTGATAGATTATAATTGCATTTATCTGATTATAGCAAATATATTCCCCCATGCAACACCTGGAATATTGTTAGATCAATGGTATTGATGATTGGATTGGTATCGAACTGGAAAAGGGTCTTTCTGGCTGATACTAATCTGATATGTTGTTTGATTTGGTTAAACTGACTAAAAATGTATTGAATAATAATTAAACAAAAAATTTGAAAAATTAAAGTTTCCAAAAAAATTCAGAAAGAAAAAATTTGAGATACATTGATTTGAGAAAAAATAAGAATATTGGTTGACATGTTGGTTTAATGCTAGATTTAGAAAGTTCATAAACTCATTAAGTTCATGTTGGGCAAAAGAAAGTTTCAATAGTGAAAAACGGTTCACTACAAGTTCATGCTAGGCAAAACGAAAGTTATAATATTCAACTAGTGAAAGTAAAAATAGTATATTGTCCATAGTGATGATAACAAAGGCTTTATACTAGTACTTTCTACATCCATGGCTATTTTACCCCAATTAAAAAAGAAAAAAAAAAGGTTATGTCAACAAAAGTGGAGATTAGGTTTATACTCCAAATCATTATACGGAAATTTTGATTTAACACCACCATCAAACATCTTGAGTACGCCTATTTTCAGTAATATTTAACTTTTATGTTAAAATTTCACAGTCCTGCCTGAGTCCAAAATTTCAAATTCCCAAGTTCGTTTTTGGAGCAGTTTTCCTAAAAAGGGCTCCTTGGTAATGAGACTCCTTTGAATATTTTAACTTCAAAGGAAAAGAAGAGAATTGTACTCTCACTTTTTGGTCATGAGACAGTTCCATGTTGTCCTGGGGGGAGGGGGGAGATGGGGGACCCAAGTGCCACCAATCGAGACTCCCATGTTTGATGGAGGAGCGTAGAAGCAGCAATATTGGAGCGTGGCTTTCCACTCTCCTCTTAAAAAGGGCCATTTTTGGAAGACACAGCTTCCATGCCGAGGCATGGAATCCATATCTTCCACATTTTGTGGAAGAGAGGTCTATGGTAGACCCCTCTTATGCCTATCACACACTTCCTTAGGTATCCATGTAATCTGTAACAAATTGGAGTCAATGTATTAAAAGTCTGTAGGCAGTGCCCAGGAGACCTCTCGTGATTGAGGCGGCCCGTAGATAATAAAGGGGGGAGGGGCTGTTTAAGGGTTTGGCGTTTAATGCCCAAAACCTCATATTTTTTTATTGAAATTTAGTACATGCATTTTGTAGTTTTTGCTGTTTTCCTTCCTGGATTGGAACGCTACATGACATTTCTTAAAAGAAGAATGCATTAAACCAAATTAGAAAATCAAGCACTTGACAATCATAATTGCAAATGAGCTTTTATCGAGGAGTTTTAGATGCCAAAACTCTTCTCTTGCTTCTCATTTGTTTCCATAATCTTTGGAAACTTTCAAACTTTGATCCTGTAAGATTTCCTTCAAACCCAAAATATTTTCTAATTAAAAAAATGAAAATTCAATATATTACAATAAATTAAAATGCAAAGCTGGAGATTTTATGGAAGTTTCTCACTATAATAGGTCCCCAACCATTTTCTCCAATTCGTTTAGACAACATTGGTGGCTGAACTGGGGAGGGCCCCGATTCGGTCAGATGGCCAAATTGGATGGATCAAAAAAAAGGGAGGGGGGGGGAAGGAAGTGGACCTGTCCAAAAAACATAATATCTAAAAATAGTGAAATCTACAGAAATATCAGAAAAATTAAAAAATTTAAAAAGGTAGAAACAAAAATAATCCATCACTATTATTCAATACTCATTAACAACAAAATAAGTCCAAAAAATCCCTTTTCTTGAAAAATATTTATTGATGATTTATAATTTCAATTGAGAGAGGGAGAGTAGCTAAACACCAATTTTTAAAAAATACAGTCTAATCCCTAAAAACCCTCCCAATTGTTGGAAATGTGTGTGTGTGTGTGAGAGAGAGAGAGAGAGAGAGAGAGAGAGAGAGAGAGAGAGAGAGAGAGAGAGAGAGTACTAACAACTAACTAACTAACTAAACTTAACTTAACTTAACCTAACCTAACCTACTACGTAGTAGTAGTAACTAACACGTACGTAGTACGTACGACGAC